TTTTTTTGAAAAACAACCCAAGTGGATGCTAGAGGTGCTGATAAGAGCAGACACCGCTAGCATGCTCGGGGAGGCTCCATCTATTGGTGGGGAGCGGCACCTGCTGGAAATCGGGTCCAGCGTCCCTCAACAATTATAACCAGTTGTTCCGTAAACCACCCGAATTCATATCAATGTGCCACGTGCCCATCCCATAAAATGCATACGTAATCAACCGAAACGGCACGCTGGCACCCTCAATCATATGATGAGCAGCATTGATTGCCCTCAACCGAGGGGATTAACTGCTCATCGTAGTTAAAACGAAATTCCTACTCCGAAACCCTCATCGCCCGCTTAACAAAACGTCCGCAGCACCATGAAAGGGAGAGGTAATCGGAATAGGAAGTTAGATCAGCTATTATGGCTAATTCCGAGGTCATCACGAAGTTACTCTCACAGGTCATTCGGAAATCGCCATATCCCCCCACAATCCTCATAATCAGAGGTTAAGCCAAAAGCCCTTACTGCGTCACAAGAAGGAGAGACACTGAAATCGAAGTCAGATTACCTATCCAACCGCCTCCCCCCACAACCCTCGCAATCCATAAGTCCGCACAAAGTGGGGAGATTGCGAGTAGGAATTTCGTTTTAACTACGATGAGCAGTTTGCTGCTCATCATACTGACTATCCTGACAGTGTCCCAGAGAACTGCGTCGTGAACCGTAGGGGRAGAAGTTCGAGAGACGAGGGGTAGTGATAGCTCATTGTTTTGTCTGAGTTGCACCGAATAATTCTCTCTCTCTATGTATACATGGATGTTATCATGGTGATATGTGAAATACATGAATGATAAAATTCAGGTCCAAGAATTGTACAGTGTATCAAAAATTCAAAATCCTCCCCTGCGTTTTTTAACTTTTTTTTTTTTCCCCCCCTTATAAAGACTCAGCTCGTTTGATTACTCAAAATCCTCCCCTGCGAATTGGTACGACATTTGTTACTCGATTCATGTACAGCCTTGGGCACTGTGCCCATTTGTAACTGAAATCCTTGGGCTGGCAAAAAAAAAAATAAAAAAAAAATAAAAAATCCAAATCCGAATCCTTCCGAAAAACAAAGAGCTATTGTAGTTGATACTATAATAGTATCTTTGAAACGAGCTGGGAGGGGTCATTGGAAGAAACAAAAGAACCCACCAAATACCCCAAAGATGGCAGTGATCGCAATACTATTTGGTTAGTTCAAATACTAACCCGGCGACCTTGTGGAGTCGTTTGCGGGGTGGCTAAAATGCTTATGAAAATTTTTAGTTACCCTATTATTGACAGCTATCATATGTTGTTATTGAACTCAACCAACTGCTGTTGGGGCTATCCGCTTGGGTCCAGGGCTGTTCCATCCCCACGCAACAGTGCCAACCCGATGGCAAAACTGGGTGAAGGGAGGAGAAGTGACACGAGTATGTCTACTTCAACGGGCTCTATACGAGCATCTCTACGTGTCTTCATTATTTCCGTCCTCCGGGTCATCCTCTCGACATCAGGGCCACGATCGCCAACATCGCGCTTCGCCCATCCAACCTCTCCCTCAAAGATTGTGAAGGGTATTTGGCAGAAGACATACCGGGGTGCGTCGAAACTTCCGAGCAATGGGGCACTTGGCATGTTCATGGGCCTGGTTATTGGTGCGACTCTCATGTTGTTGATCGACCAAATGAGATCGTCATTGGAATTACACAAAGAACCCTTTGAAGATGTCTTTGCAGATGTGCTCCCTCCCGTCCAGGAACCCAATGTTTCTGGACCTGGAAATGTCCCTGTGGTTGTCCGGAACCTGCGCGAGAGCTGGGGAGTTCCACAGTACATCAAGTTTGAGAACAAAACCCAAGGGAAACGAACCCTCTTCAACCCCACTGTCATCCCTCTTCCCGAAAAGTCCACACACCGATATGTGGCTGTTGTCCGTACTGGCAAATGGACCCTAAAGCATGAGAATCGTGAGTACACCGATGCTCATATTGTGGGCTGCCTCCTAGATGATGGCGATGGAAGCAAAGGAAATCGGTACATTTATTGTTCCACACCGGCGGTTGACCTTGACATGCCCTTAGACTGGAGAGGGACGGACGAACGCTATGCGAATGCCACAGCGCAGAAAAAGGAACCTTCTTTCTGGGAGTACTTTGTCGGCCCAGAGGATCCTCGCTTATTCTGGAGCCTCGACGGGCGACCTCTTATGCTTTACGCACAGGTCAACCCTCAAGGGAGGGGAATGGTCAATCTGAAATCGCAATGGTTGACTGATTTGCGGGTTGTGATGGCTGGACTGGACGAAGCACTTCCGGAGCCATACAAGCTCCGGTCGCTTCCCCCAGGGATGCACAGGGAAAACCTCCATTCGGAAACACTTGTTCAAGATGTGGAGAAGAACTGGGTGCCCTTTTACGCTGTTAGTGTGCCTCCAGAACAGTACGTCAGAAGTCGCAGAAAGGATGCAAACACAGGGGTAGAAGCAGGCAAGAAGACAAGCAGGAGGACGCTGCTGGGCCCAGAAACAGCTGATTTGGGTGCTGGCCATCATCATGCTTCTGACCCACAGAGTGGAAGTGAGAAAGGTCTGCATTTTGTCACAAGGTTTCGACCGTTCCTTGTTTACGAGTATCTTGGACCGGGTGGTCGTGTTGAGCCGGTCAAGCCTCTCCCAGCACATGAGGCTGCCTACAATTGCTTTGAGCGCCTCATGAAACCGCACGAGGAACGCCCAGGATACACCCACGGGGGCACGAGCCCTGTTCTTGTCACCCTCTGTGACCGAGGGGACTGCACCCCAACTGTTTCCAATACCGTATTCTTGGCAGTGCTTCATGTTCTTGATTTTGGAGACATGGAGGACCGTTGGTACCGACGATATGCAGTCACATGGAACTGCACCTCACCCTTCGTTCCCATTTCTATTTCTCCACTGGTGTTGGTTTTTGGATTGCAGGCGAGGGGAGGGATATTGTTCGATACAACAATTTCATATACACGATCTCCGCCTTTCAACCTTACATCTATAAAAGCAACCCAGGCAGGGAGTCCAAGCGGCTGGGACCTTCGGAGCAAGTATAACTTGTACGACTTAGGATTGCGAGATGGCTTCGATCATGGGTATCTGAATGACGAGGTCATAGTCAGTCTTGGGATAGGTGACTGGTACCCACTGGTGTTCTACTCTGATCCTAGGTCGTTCCTGAAGAACCATTCAGCGTGTGGGGACCACGTTAGTCGCGAAGCGAAGGAAGCATTATGGCAACTTGGTTGACGAACGTAGGGGGAATGCCCCCAAGAGTGTCAGGAAACTCAGGTCTAACATGGAGAACGAACACAGCGCGCGGCAAGAGGGTCAGATGCTGGCATTGCCGCAAGACTCACCGCAGTTATGGGTTTGTTACCACGCTTCTCTGATGGCTTAAAGCACCAAGGGGAGGACGCTAGTTAGTTTTGCACGAATCCATGTGCACATCAGTACTGCACCGACTGTGAAAAGGTTTCACCCAGATCGCACAATATTGCAGACACCAAGACTCGATCCCCATACATTCCCCAGCCCACTGTATAGTTGCCCATTGACCCTATGTGTTTTGAACCCGCGACCTGTCCCTAAAACCGTGTAGAAATGTTTTGTGCGTGTAGCTTGGGTGGTGTGGACTTGATCCGTAGGTTAGCTGTTTAGGAGTCCTGAGGGTCGTCTGTAAGTCCTCTGAAGGGTCACTACGTCGTGGCTAGAACAGTCCTCGAAGAGTCGACTTGACCTTAGTCCGTCGATCTCTGAAAGGTCAAGTCCCAGTCCAGTCCGTTTTTGCAGCAAGTGCCAGAGTGGGACTGCACATCTTGAGGGTCTGGGACATCGGCAGACCCAGACCACCAAACGAAACAGTATAAATAAAGAGGCAGCGATCAGTCATTCACTTATTATCTGGGGAACTATGTGGAAGCGCTGCACGAGTGCCTTGTGCGTTAAGTTCGCTGGTGGTCGGTAAGAAGCCCGAAGGTGGAAGAGGGCAAGCGGCCATAGCCGCTAGCGAGGCGGAAGAGGGCGAGCGGCCATAGCCGCTATGTATGCTTGTTGCAAGTGAAGTCGAAGACAAGTCTGATTTCAACTGTTACCTGGCGGTATGTGTTAGAGTGCATCAGGCAAGCAGGAAAGCTGCGCTGTGGGCAGAAAGTGACAGAGGCAGAAGACTGCTAGTGGAAGTCCAAACAGTGGTGGACTTGTGCAAGTGGGAGGGAAGGAATCCGTCGTGGTCGGTCCGAGCTTGGTAAGGTTGGAGGGGAGCAATAAACTGTGGTCTCTGATCAAATTCATGCTTAGAGATTCACTCAATTTCACGGCCAATTTTTCTTTCGCTGGTTTTCGGAAATGAATTGAAAGATTCAAACTGGTAGAACAGTCGTTCATAATGGAAGATCCCAGTGGCTATGGTGGTCGGACGGTGACCGTTGAGCAGGCTTGGGAGAGGATTCCCACGTCCTGCAGCCCGTTATGGTGTCGAGCAGATGGATTCAACGGTCCATTGAGATTCAGCAGTTTACGGAAATCGGCTGCAGTATCTAGTTGGTGATAGATTAGAGAGTGACTAGTTTGATGTTTGACGGACCGCCACGCAAATCTTGTGGAGGAGACAGGTTAGTAATGATAAGACTTCAACGATTGAGGTCTATCTGATTAGGCTCCGGATTGACCCTTTTGGACATTTGCTATTATTTATTTCCTTAACAGAAGGGGGGCTAGCCCCCAACATGATTGGGTTCATTTTTTGCTCCGGCAGGATTTTGAACTCGTGTGTGCCTATCAATAGCTACATGCTTGTACCGTTCCGCCACATGGTTGGGGGTAGATCCGTGTAGTCGCTGTAGTGCCATTCAAGCTGTTAGATGAATTCTTCACAGTTTTTTGAAGTTCAAAGTTTAAATTCCAAATTGGTAGGGTTGAAAACAGAAGCTGCGGGCGTCTGTGAGGTGGATTTTGACATTTTGTACGACTGGTTTATTTGTCGCATAGTTGAATCTCTTGAGGGATTGAAATTTTTTGAAAGCCTTTAACAGGTCAACTTCAAAGTTTGTATTCCATTCGAGCAGACGTGTTGGCATGGCGCAGTGTGGTCCGCGGCGGCAGGTTCACAGAATGAGTTATATAGTCTTCTGGAGTTCCATGTCCCAACTTCAGTTCCAACTTTGTGGATATTACTGTAGAGCGGGACTCGGCGCAGTGGGTGAATAATGGATATTACTGTAGAGCGGGACTCGGTGCAGTGGGTGAATAATGGATATTACTGTAGAGCGGGACTCGGTGCAGTGAGTGAATAATAATTTGGAGTTGAGAGTTTAAACTTCAAAGTTTGAAAAGTCAGTCTTTGTAATTGTGTACTGCACAGACCTTGTAGACACCCGTGTGGTGTCATCACGCATGGGTAATGCGTAACATGACCGTTTGGAGTTTGGGCTTTAGAGATACAGCTCATTTCATTTTCATTGATAATTTGCGACACACTGTACACAGATCTTATTTAGGTTTGCATGTAGATGTAGTCATTATCACCAGCCATCAATCGCTGTTCACGACTTTAACGTTTAAGCCTATGTCCTGAGGATGGCAACGGAGCAGGCAGAACCCCCATCAGCCCGAGGAGATCCCGTCCAGGGATCTGCAGTTGTTTCCTTTTTCTGCAGATTGTGCTGGGTACTAGTTTGTAAAGCCTATCGGTTGGGGATAGCCCCTCAGTTACAGAGCCATCTCCAGTTGCGATAGAGACGCCATCCGATTGCCAGTTGAAGGCAGTTTTGTACCATGATGGGTGCTACCGTGCTGCTGGTTCGGCGATCGGTGCCTGTCAAACTGTGATAAGGGGAAACCTGTGCACCTGAATTTCTGAGGCAGGGAGATGAATAAGTAGTCAAACATGGATGTACTTCAGCTCACTGATACAAGTCTGTGGTGTAATAAATTATTTTCTTTCACATGCTTGACCGTGTAATTCATATATCGGAATCCGTCATTCTTGCGCCTTGCACTCTGTTGTCGGTCATTTCTGTCAGCTGCGACCCTTCGGGTATCACTGCACTGCTCCCCAAATGTGCATGAAATGGAGAGAGAGCATCTTCAGGGAGAAGATGGAAAAAATACACTCGCTGTTGATGTCCCTTTTTAACATTTACAGAGTGGTGGAGCGGCCCTCGTTTCTGTGACTCTTGTATTACTGTCGGACATGTGAATCACAGCTGGGGACGGGCAAGCTGAATCTATGCACAGATACAGAGCAGATACAGATTGGCAGACAGGGAAGTGCTTTAGGTTTTGCCTGTCCGTCCACCGACAGGGCCGATCCTGTAAATGCGTACGCATTGGATGCTCCCTCCAGCCTAGTGCTGGAACATGAAAGCAGCGGAAGATGTCTGAGATCATGCAATTGTCGGCCTAGTGGAACATCAGAAGGCGTAAACAGTACCATTGGGAAGTCTATGTGGAAGGATCACTTCTAAATTAATTTGTCAGTTTAGTCTATGTGGAAAGATGACTTCTAAATTAATTTGTCAGTTTGTAGAAGCCAGCTGCAGCTGTTTTCCTCTAGTGTTTGAGTAACACGTAGCCGGTACCCCGCAGCTGTATGTTGCAGACTTTAATGTTGTGCAGTGAAGTTCTTATTTCTAATCTTACAGCTCAAGTTCTTATTTCTAATCTTACAGCTCAAGCTCTTATTTCTAATCTTACAGCTCCAGCTATCGTGAGGGAAACTTCGGAGGGAACCAGCTACTAGACGGTTCGATTAGTCTTCCGCCCTATACCCAAGTCCGATGAATGATACATCAGTATCGCTGCGAGCGTCCACCACAGTTTGCGGTTATGAGTACGGCCGGGCGTGAGAGGTACCCGCAGCTCCAGATTTTCAAGGGCCGTCGAGGGTGCGCTGGCACCACAGGACGCGCGGTGCTTTGTCAGGCGCTGCACCCTATCTCCGGTTGAATGTAGCAGTGAAGGTCTTCGTCGTTGTTCAGTCTTTTGTGATATTACTGTGAGAAATTTGTATAGCCCATAGTGTCTCCACAGCTAACAGATGCATACGATAGATGTGACACTTGTTTCCTGAAGTGCAGAACTTCGCTGCCTCGGAGTTGTGTATGGATTTAAAAAACTACTGAAAGATTGTGCGATGGTACATGTGAGATGGAGGATACGAGGGTCATCCCTGGCGGCAAAGTGAAAGCAACGGTTAACTCTGTCTCTATTTGGACTTTTCATCTTTTTTAGGAGAGCTTTGAAAAAGAGATTATTTTTGCCTCCCTTTTGAGGGAAAATTTGAAAAGGGAAGTTTAATTTTTGTATTCCCTTTTGTTCTTCGGGTGTGTTTGTCAAAAAAAAAAAATAAAAAATAAAAAATCTTCTTCCAATACATGAGGAGGAAGTTAATTATGGTCAGCCATGGCTGCGAATCAAAAGCAAGCCTCAAATCAACTCTGTCTATGTCGGGACTTCTTATCTTTTTGAGAAAGAGGTAAATTGTTCTTTGCCTTTTCTCTTTTCTCTGTTCGTCTTCATTTTTTCTGGCTTTGTTCTTCTTCCTTACTTCTGCATTGTTATTGTTCCTTCACTTTCAGTGAGGCTTTTCTTTGTTGTTGAGAAAAAGACCTTCAAAAAGGTTAAATTATTCCTTGTCTTCTTCCATCGTCTTCTTTCCTCGCCGACTTAATGTTTCCTCCTCCTTTTTGCACCAGCCAGGACCCCACCCACACACACTCTAAGAGCTGTGTATAGCGAACATGAGAAAACATCTCTCTTTCTCTCCAATATTAATTATGTTATTAAAATTGAAGCTCAATATTTGTTACATTAACAGTTGTATGTGTGTGTACTGGCAGGCCACATGGGCTGGATGCCTCAATGTTTCTGCCCTTCTCTTTCTCCTTGTTTTGTTCGTCTAGTTGCCTGAGGAAAGGGCACACAACTGCCTGTGGATAGTTGAATAGTCAGGGGGTCATGCCAACGAGGGGCCGATAGCTTATTCCGTTGGGCACACCAGATCGGTCCACGACCCCCTTAGCACCGGCGCAAGCCCTACTTGTGACAAGGGCACTGGTGGATTGAATTCGAGCCTCTTCCTCTCCCTCTCTTCCTCCTTTTTTTCCATTTCTAATTAGTCTGCTCCTCCCAAATCTGTGAAACAGTTGAGAGGTGAGCCGACCACATACCTCTTTGACCCGACAATGCACCCTAGCTTTGCAATCCTCAAGAAGTTAAATCCAAAGAAGCCAGATTTGTTAGATCGTGCGTTGTCTTTAACGTGGCATTGGCCTTTGATAATTTGCAATTCGAAATTAATTCAAAA